TTCAGGGAGGTACCAGCCACCATTTGGGTCAGAACTTCTCCAAGATGTTCGAGATCGTGTTCGAGGATCCTGAAACGCAGCAGAAGAAGTACGTTTACCAGAACTCCTGGGGCTTAACCACTCGCACCATTGGCGTGATGATCATGGTGCATGCGGACAACCAGGGTCTGGTTCTGCCCCCACATGTTGCTTGCATTCAGGCCATTGTGGTGCCCTGCGGCATCACCGTGAACACCAAGGATGACGAGCGGGCACAGCTGTTGAACGCGTGCAAGGAGCTTGAAAAGCGTTTGGTAGGCGGTGGAGTTAAGTGCGAGGGCGACTACCGAGACAACTACTCACCCGGCTGGAAGTTCAACCACTGGGAACTGAAGGGCGTCCCACTGCGCCTGGAAGTGGGTCCCAAGGACCTGAAGGCCCAGCAGCTGGTGGCTGTGCGTCGCGACACTGGCGAGAAAATCACCATCCCGCTGGCCGATGTGGAGAAGAAGATCCCCGCGCTGCTCGAGACAATCCATGAGAGCATGTATGCCAAGGCACAGGAAGATATGACAAGTCACACCAAAAAGGTGACCAACTTTGCCGACTTCTGCGGCTTCCTGGAGCAGAAGAACATCCTGCTGGCCCCCTTCTGTGGCGACATCAGTTGCGAGGACAAGATCAAGGCAGACAGCGCCCGCGGCGAAGAGGCCGAGCCAGGAGCTCCTGCCATGGGCGCCAAGTCGCTGTGCATCCCCTTCGATCAACCGGCTCCAATCGCGGCCAGCGATAAGTGCATCCACCCCAGCTGCACCAACAAGCCCAAGTTCTATACGCTCTTCGGACGTAGCTACTAAACTAATGGGAGCTGGAAGGAAGCCAGGCTTCGTTGTTTCTCCAAACCATATTTTTAAAAACCAAGAAAACTCGATTGGCTAGTATCGATGGACCTATAAGTACTCTTACTTTGAACGACCTTAATATTCATTTCAAATTGATTAAATACTAAAAGTTTAAATTAAAATTCACTTTGTCTATTAATGAATCAATGGAGGTTTACCAATATCAACTAATGATTAGGAAATTGTGTTGGTTTATAAATATCTGGCTCGTATTTGGCTTACGCAATCCAGAATGTTTAACCTCGCTAAGTAGCCGCCAGCAAGACTAATTTTGATTTGCAATTTTCAATAAGTTGTCGAGCCATTTAACCTCTGTTGCTCCTTTCACCTGAACAGAGATAATTGGCCATGGAAACAACAAACCTTAAATTGCATTTAATTTATTTAAATACTTTGTTCAGTTCCGTTTATTTAGCATTCAATGTTTATAAACATTTTTTCGATATGGAACTCTTGACTTATTAAAAAGGTATCAATGCTATCGCCGGCCAATTATATTTGTAATTACTTGTCAACCACCCTATATCAAACAAATTAACTTGATTATTTTTTATGGGCTTGTTAGTACCTATTACCACTTATCCAGCACCACTTATTACTTTACAAAGGCAGAGTATAGTCTTTTAAATTAGTTCTTTAAATTGTTTATAATTATATGATTTATCCACATTTAATCCATTTGAGAATACTCTGTTGATATTAACATATCAATCAAATCCGTCGTACCCCTTTATTCAGGTAATAACACCAATTAAAATAAACTTAGCAGCTCCATTTCAATAAATGGATAATTTTTCATTAGTTGCAATCAGTAGATTCCATCTTAAACTGTTAGGAGGTGGGTAGAGCATATGACCAGATATAGGAACTGATACCAATGTTGATCCAACCGATCCCAAGAGCACAGGCCACCGCTCACCAATTTAATTCTCCACGGCTTTTAGAATTATAAACATTGTAATAAATAATATAATTGTCATACAAATGGCTATATGGCTAGGTCGGGAGGCGATAAGTGGTTTAGGAATGTACCCCAAGCCAGGTGAGAGTGAGTCCAGCTAATTAAATGCATATCTTGCCACTTTGCGTCAGCAGCCGGTGTTGACTTGTTTTAAATGGAAAAATAATGGCCGAGCCTACGCCGCGGATGGAAAAGGCCCGATGCCTGGACAATATTGCGTGCCGATATGCGTAAACAACAGAACGACAAATGACAAGCTGGCCCAGTCAAGCTGCGATAAGCAAATATGAGTATTTCCAATCGCATTACTACGATTTGCAACTGGTTTCCCCTGGGAGTAGTTAATGTGATGCAATTGAAAAACATCAACATTCAGTAATAAACTACGTAAAGAACTAGGGGACTCACTATAAATGAAAGAATATAATTTTAATCATTTTATTGCCAATTGAGTAATACCAAGTATTACCCATTTCAGTATAGGACTGTTATTTCACGAAACTATAAAGTTAGATACAAATCGGTTACGATTTTTATGTGTTATTTATCGCAGCTATAAATCCTTTTCTAACATGTTCACACCAGCACATTTATATAGTTGCGAAACGTAGTTTGAATAGAGTTATACCCCATAAGCACGGTAGCCAGCTGTTTTGTTGACTCAGGTCAAGCCTTAATGTGTTCTACTTAGACGTTAATCGAATCTCGAACACAGCAAATATTTAGTGTTATTTAGTATTCAGTTGCCGCGAAAGCAAGCGAGATTTGCAATTATGTTTGATTTATGGCATTGGTCCCGATCTATTGGGTGGAAATCCCATTTATTCCATCCGTAGTTCCAGCTTCACCTCTTAACTCCAGCCCACTTGGAGTAATCAATTGTAAAAATTGCATAATGATGGCCGCGACTGATTGAATGCATGGCACATATGTATCTACTCAAGCAACCAGTTTATAATTGCTGGATTATTCATCGGTAATTTACAATCAAAAAATATAATGGGGAGTTGGAGTTGGCGAATCAGGAAGGTGATTAAAGAATCGAATAGGGCAGTTCTAAAATACCAGAAGTGAATCATATATATTGTTGTTTTGTAGAGATTGGAAAATTTTAGAGACTAGCACATTAAATAAATTCGCCACCTTTCATATTTTTATATTGTTTTATTTTTAATCAATTAAACAAGTGTCAAAATAAAACTTGTAGTAACAGGATTAGTGTTTTAGAAATGGAAAAATCTAATACGAAGTGCTTTATATCTAGCGAACTTATTCTAATCAAATTCTCAATATTCCAGTTTACAAATGAGTCATTAGGTCTATCCAGTATTTTAACTTAATTCTCACATTAGTTTTAGATTTTTTAATTAAAAACAAAAACATTTTGCGTTTTATTTTGGGGTAACTCCGCAGTTATTAATTAGGAAATATTAAAACAGTTTTACACAAATAGTAATAACTAAAAAGCTAAAAGTATCTTGTAAGCTGAGACCTCAAGTCACTAATAATATAAGTAACTTTTGGCTTTAAGCAAAAGGTGTGTGAAAGGCAAATATTTGCTAGTTAGTAACCAAATAGAAACCAAACAGGATCCAGCTGAGATCCAAGATTGTAAAATAGTTACCACATAGAAAACGTAAAGTGCAAATGGTAAAGATCAAAGACAATGTCCAAGGAGTTATGTTTATTTTCAGGCACGTGTGTCGAAATCTCTTCCGCTTGTTTATAAACGAAACCCCGCTGGGAACTGGGAAGTTAAAATTCGGTAATTCGTGCGATTCGCGAACCGCTGGTGAGATAGTTTTCTCGGTTCTACGCGTTTACAGAACCAATTAGAGGGGAACTACGAATTGGGCTGCTCCAGGGGCGTCCAATGACTTGGGCTGCCAAAACAAATTATGTCATCAAAGGAAAGGGAAATGGAGTTGAAATTGGTATACAATTGATGAGCTGCGAAGCCTGTTATTAACCGCAAGGCCTGTAGGCCAACAGACCAGGCGGAAAAAAATGAAAACGTAACGGAGACGTTGCTGAATCACAATTTCAAGGTCGTCTCATCACGACATCTTCTGTTCGGTTGTTACCAGATTGTGAAATACCCAGCGATCCTGTGGCTGTCCAATAGCCCCTCTTTTGCACATCCCCCTCGACTACCAAAATGAACTCACCTGACGGGGCAACTTTTTTTAACTGACCATTATCACTGCTTGCAGCCGTGGATCAGGTTCCCCAAGAGGAAAAAATCTCTTCTACAGCCAAAAATTGCATGAATGCATTTTAGCGCGGAAACGCACTTGTATGAGTTGTCTGAATATGTGCATATACAACTACAGTGGAGATTCCGAAACGAAGATTACTATAGCCTCTTCATAAATTCAATTTATTACATATCATTATAGCTTTGATTCTGTTTGTAAGGTGAATAAATAATTTTCTGACACATTTAAAATAATATTATTTCTAGCGGAGTAACATCATCACTTTAAACACCAAAAAAAGTATTGTAGTGAGTTATCCAGTGGACTATTTTCTTAGAAATAAAAGTAAACTTAATTTCTCAATACGACCATAGTATTATTGATAGCTATATTATATTAAATAGTACGACCGTAGTATTATTTTCAGTTATATTATATTAAAAAGTATAAAAGGGTTTCCCTTTATAGAAGTAGGACTGTCTTTATGCATCTGATTCGCTGCCATGGATGACATGCGATTTTTTAGGGCCACCTCAAGTGGCTGGCCTTGGTTTGGTGTGGCTCCTTTTTTTGCGGTCGAGGGGAATTTTGTTTTGGACTCCGGCTAGGGTTGCCAGGCTATGCTGCAGACTTGGCCATCTCCAACTCGAATCTTGGATGGACGGGAGTTCCATTAGCCATTGCCCTTGCTTGACTTTTGTAGAGCCTTAAGTGCCGTTTAATTGGCTTTAATTCAAGTGTTTCGATTCGGTGTGTGTGTTTTTCGGTTTTATAGTCTGGCTCTGAGGGCAAGCTCATCTTACGGCCAGTGCAACCCGCAACCCGGAAAGCCACTACTCACCTGGCATCCACACCTGTCGGCGCACACGTTCACTGAGCAAGTATTTGTATTTGTGCGGCGTTGGCGAGGCAGCGACGCCGGCAGAGCCGAGTTTCCTTTGAGCCGAGTATAACTTCAAGCCAATTGCCCGCTTTCAATTCAGTTGCCGCTGAGTTTTCAACCGATTCAATTCGAGACCGCAAACAACACTCAAAACATATTCGCCAGTCACCGCCTGAGAAGTGAGTTTCAGATAAAGTCGAGGTGCTAATAACCTGGCCCAATAATCGTTGGCCATCCTAATCCCCCCGTGAACTTTGGCTCCGAATGTGTGTGTGTTTGCCCTTACAATTGACACGAAAAAAAAGGCCCGAAAGAAAACAAAAGTCAATCCAACAATTGCCAACGAAAAGTGTGCGAATGTCATAATTTGCGTGCCTCGAGTTACGTGAATCCGTCTGTCCGGCGATAAAAAGGAGGCGTGAAATGCTGTGTACAGTGTGTGTTGGATTAGGAAAAAAATAGTCTCAGATCGGAGCAGCCTGAACAATGGGAATACAATTCAATGGAAATTAATGCAGCTAGAATGGCAAAGAGCAAATGCATTCGAGTTTGTGTCTTAAGTCTTTTGTTTGGCCCGCGAAAGGAAGCATTTATTTTGGGGATCTGGCATAAGTCAAAGCGATTGGGAAATAATGCATATTTAAGAAAATTATTTCCTGGACATAAAAGTACTCTTAAATTGTACATATTGCTATTCATCTTCCATCGTATTAAATGGGAAATCATTTCCTAATCATCCGTTTTCCAGCGAATTATTACACATAAATTTTATAATACTTTTTAGAAATCTTGGGATATACAAAAAGAATAGGTATGAAAATATAATAATAACAACAAAATAATGTAATAAAATAAAAAAAAATGTCATGAATCATGCTCAAATGAATCTATACCTTTGTAGAACTTTTATAAAATTATAAAAATAAATGTAAAGCCCCAAGAAAAGTGGCAAAGATAAAAACTAGAATAAGTGAATAACTTATAAATATATTTATAAGCCTGAGGCAAACAATTGTGTTTGCATAAATTACACAATTAACAAGGGTTGTACTCTATAATTTTGTAATCAATCAATATACACAGTTAGGGTAAAAATGTTATAATGAAAATCCCACAAGTGTTAGGCTTTTATGTATTTTGTTTTATAAACTTACAAATTATAACTTTGTTACAAATTAGATTGAAGCTTAACTTTCTTCATAAAAAGGCCAAGCAGCTTTAATTAGTGCCGCCATAAAAAAAGAGTGAAATAAAGAGGCTTAAATTAAACTTTGGCTGACTAATTGGACATCCACCCGCACTCGCATTGCCCAAGATTGTAATGCACACACTAAAAAGCATAAAAACCTAAAAATAAAAACTCCAAATAAAGCAATGGACCAAACATTAACACATTGTGGGACGGGTACTTTCCAAACATCATAAACAAACAAACGGTGGCCGCTAACAGGTCTTTAAACTTGTCACTATTTACCAACATAAACAGATGATGTGGTGGATGTGCGCGGTGCGATGGGAATGGGAAGCGGTGATGGGGATACCTCCGAAAATCCCAATTGGCCACGGCAATTACACGCAGTTGGTCAACACAGCAGTTGTCTCTGCATGATCGTATTTCATCAGTATCCGCCGGTGACATTGAACAAGAATCTTGCTCGCAGTAGGTTAGACAAACAAACGGCCAACAGCTCGATCTTGAAAATATATGGTTGTAACACGGCCTGACCTTATCACTCGTCACTTCCTTTGCTCAATTTTGCACGCGAAATTAAAAGCCGAAAAATGCCAAATTTTATTAGATCATTAAAACAAAAATACTTAATTTATATCCTGAATGTCTTATAATAATATAATGAATGATATTTCTAGATCGCTGCTTAGCCATGGACATATTGAGGAGCGATGTCGATTGCGGCGAGTCCGAAATTGCCAAGTTCTATGCAAACAAAACTATCCTTATTACCGGAGCCACTGGTTTTATGGGAAAAGTTCTGGTGGAGAAATTACTACGAAGCTGTGGCGATCTGAATGTTATATATCTATTGATACGCACCAAAAAAGGAGTCGATCCCAGTGTTCGCAAGGAGCAGTACTTCAAGTGTGTGGTAAGTTTATCTGATTATCTCGCACAACCGGAAATCAATACATTCCTTTATTAAGTGCTGTAAATTAGATAATTTATGGCTCGTAAATAAGACCCAGCCCTCTCGCTTTAAGCAGCTTAATTAGCGTCTAATTAGATATACACTCTATAATGTACCACGTGACGTATACTTAATGCCCATTTGAACTGCAATTGAGTGCATCAAATTTCCAAGGAATCTTTGAATGTGTCATGTGCTTATTAAAAATAATTACCTTCGTTTGTGGGTTTTGGAAATTTTTAAAAATCTATAGCTTACGTAAAAAAGTACATTTCCGGGGTTTCTTTAAATATTGACCAATATATAATTACAGCCTTGTAGGGGAAACCACTAAGAATATGCATTTTTCACAATACTATTATTTCATCAGTTGATTGTGGTTTTAAATCATAGTATAGAAATAATTTTATAAGATAATTTGTATTAAAAGCAGTTTGGATTTACTATTTGCTAAAGGATTACCTTTTCAAAAATGTATTGTGTTTGAAATTACCGCATTAGAGTTAATGAGTCATAGGTTGATCACTCCATTTGGAGTCAGCCCAACGTCAATAAAAATCTTAGAAAATCCAAAGCGATCACTATTTGCCGACCTTGCCTGCCGATAGCCATAATTTCCACTTCAGTTCGCCTGACAATTCCGAATCTCAACGCACGTGAATTCAGATATTAATTCTATATAATTATAATGGTATGCCATAACTGGTACCGCCGCAGCTGAACTAATATTCCGTTTGCCCTCCGTTAAAAGGGAAAACCTCCAACGCGACTCCCGCAAATTACCAAATTATCACACCGCTCAAAGACACAGAAATCTGGTGTGTTACGTCGCCGAGCCCACAAAGCGACCCACTCAAACACATCCATGGCGTTTATAAGTCAAGGTGATCATTATTGGTAGAAAAAATCCAAAAAATTACAATGACTCTTAATTGTTGGACGTTAAGCTGGCGCTAAAACCAGCGACATGGCCCATTAGGCGATTCTTGCCAGCAAGTTTTGGATCCAAATTGCAATTCCAACGCCATGACACTTAACTAATGACCGACCGACCGCCTTGTATATTGCCTTTTCAGATCTTTAGCAAACTGCTGGAGAAGAATCCCGGCATCGTGGACAAGGTGCGCGTGGTAAAGGGCGATCTGCTGGAGCCGGACCTTGGCCTAAGTGCCAATGACACCAACACACTCGCCTCCAACGTCGAGGTGGTGTTCCACTGTGCCGCCAATGTGCGCTTCGATCAGCCGCTGCGTCCCATGGTCATGATGAACGTGGTGGGCACCCTGAAGGTCCTCCGGCTGGCGGAGAAGATGAGCCACCTGCAGGCCCTGGTGCACGTGTCCACCTCCTACTGTCAGTGCAACGAGAGTGTCCTGGAGGAGCGGGCCTATCCGGCGCCACAGAACCCCTTCTCCATCATCGAAATGGTGGAGACGATGGACGACGCCGCCCTGGCGGAGATCACACCCAAGTAGGTGGTTTGTTATTACCCCAAAAAAATTTTTAGAAAGAATATAAAAACACAAAGATGGGAATATAAAATGTTCCTATTAATCTTTAAAACTCCGATTTTACAAAGGCACAATACTGGTCTTCACATTTTGATTCGCTATCCTTAAAAATCGGTGATTTGATGACTTGATTATTATCGATGACTCGGCGATTCGGTGATTTGATAATTTGATAAACTCCTAATTTGATGATTCGGTGATTCGATGATTTGATGATTCGATGTTTTGATGATTCGAGGATTCGGGGATTCGATTATTTGATGATTCAATGATTTGATGATTCGATTAATCAAAATAGTACAGCTTCTTTTCTTTAACTTTCATATTCATGCTTTATTATTATTTGTGTAATTATTTTTAAATATAGTAAACACACATTTAATAAAGTTCAAACCTTCTAAAAATAACCAGCAGCTTAAGGCAATAAAATGCCCTGAGTCTCATACTCCTTTAAAGCCATGACTTGGCACCTAATAACTAGTTTCGTTGACTTATTTTCCAGATTGTTAAACGGCTTGCCGAACACGTACGCTTACAGCAAGGCACTGTCGGAAGATTTAATTTGCAGATACAACAATAAGCTGCCCATAATCATCACAAGGCCCTCGATAGGTGGGTATCAGGGTGTCTACTCTCTGTAGTGCCTCCTGGTTAATTGCTTTATTAAATCCATTTCAGTAACGGCCGCCATTCACGAGCCATTGCCCGGCTGGATCGAGGGCGTCAATGGACCCACCGGCCTAATGATCGGAGCCGCCCGCGGGGTCATCCGATCGATGCACTGCAACCCGGACTACGCCTCCACAGTGATACCCGTGGACAAGGCCATCAACGGAATGATCCTGTGCGGCTATCAGAGGGGAAGGACCAGTCAGGAGAAGAAGGAGGGCCAACAGAGTTCGGGCGTGGAGTTCTGCAACCTGTGCATCTCCAGCAAGGCCTTGATGTCCTGGGGCGACAGCATTGAGACGGGTCGCCGATTCTTCTACGAAACGCCCCTCAGTTTCGCTCTCTGGTATCCGGGGGGATCCATCAAGAAGAACTACTACCACCACCTCTTCTGCGTCATCTTCTTCCACTATCTTCCTGCCTACTTCATCGATTTCTGGTTGCTCGTCTTCGGTCAAGAGCCCTTGTAAGTTATGGGTTTGATGATTTTGTTTATAGCCATCTATAAATAATTAGAAAAAACTTATATAACCACTGATTTCATTCTTCCAGCTTGCTGAATGTGCAACGCAAAGTGTCAATGGGTCTGAAGCTGCTGCAGTACTACACGACGAAAGACTGGGAGTTCCGCAACGAGCGGTTCCAGGAAATGAGCAGTCAGCTGAACGCCCTGGATCAGGACATCTTCGACACCTCGGTGGGCCAGGTGAACTGGGAGACGTACATCAGCAACTACATCGTGGGCATGCGTACCTATATCCTTGGCGAGAGCGAGGCCACCTTGCCGCAGGCCCGCAAAGTCCTGCGCCGCCTCTACATCCTCGACTGGGTCAGCAAGATACTGTTCTGGTCCCTGAGCTTCTGGTTCCTGTGGACCCACCTGGATGGCTTTGTGGAGCGCGGAGATGCCTTCATCCGATCCTCCCTCAGCAATATTTACCACGAACGCAACAGCACCATACACGCCTAAGTTCTTTTCTAACTATGTAATTATGTACTTCAAATATAGTCCGCAAGATTTTGTTTGTTTTAAGTCAACAACCTGGGGTTTCTTTAAATTGGAAGCTGGAAACTGATATAAGTTTAACTAAGATAAATAAAATATTATCAACAAAAAAAACAAATAAATAATATCAAAAGGTCAACAGCCCGAAACTATCAAGCCCAAAAGCAAAAACACAAAAGGTCAAAAGCAAAAGTGCAACAGGTCTAAAGCAAAAGCTCAGAACTTGCATAAGCAAAATCACAAAAGTTACAAAGCAAACTGCAAAGCAAATAAAAAAATAAAGAGTATAAATATTTTAAAACATTATATATCATACAAAAATATATACATACTGTTTTACAAAAAATAAATATTAATTTTTATTTAAAATTAATATTATCTTGAAATTTGTTCTTCGTTAAAAAAATATTTTGATAAAATACGAAAGGTGATTTATTTTTGAAGCGTAAAAAAAGTACATTTTGATATGCCCGTTATTATTTAATTAGTATAGTGCTTATAACAAAAACACATCGTATCCCCACTGGAATCGACACTTAGCCCATGATGATAAGTCATGGTTTAATCTTAGAGTCAAAGAAAAACGTGAACGTGAGACCGATAACACAGAGCACCCTAATCTCTCCCTGGCAACGAATAACCCACTACCAAATTCCTAATGGGCACTCGCAAGCTTTGCAGCGAGCTTTCTCTCTCTCGGGAGAAAATATTATAATCTCCGAAATTAACTGGTCTGTTAAAGGTGGCGTGTTAGTAAACACTTACTGTGTTTATGCGATGCCGAATTCACGCTTTCATTTCGCGATTTCAGCCGATTCGTGTGTGCATAAACGCCATTTCGTGAATTCGACAACACACGAAAGTTGACTATGAATTCAACCTGAAAGCGTGAAATGGTCACAATTAAACTCCGGTAACTCTATATAATTATCGGAGTTGCCAGATCGATATAGCAAATTTTATTTCACGCTTTTAAGAAATCATGAAATCCTTAGCATAAACATAGTAACTGAAAACATAGTTCTGTTGAGCGGCCCCAATGTTGCGTATACGCCAAGTGGGCTCTGTTAATTATAACAGACTCAAAATGTTACGTTTTGGAGTATGATTCTTTTGAACAGCGTTATAATATAGTTGTAATTTTACCAAATATTATAAAAATAAAATAAATAAAAAATATTAGTTATTGCTTTTTATTTTTCACGTATCCAAAAATAAATCTTTTTGAGGGACCTTTACCATAATACACGAGTAACCCACCACCCGAGTTCCTAGTGGGCACTCACAAAGCTTTTCAGCGAACTTTCGCCTCTCGCGAGCAAGAGCCCACAGTCGTTCAGTTTGAAGAGAATATATATATAAATCTACCCAAGTTTCTCGGTCAGTTTGGTGCGGCGTTTGAGTTGAGTGGTTGTTGAGCAGCGGAGCCAACAGAAAAGCAGAAAGCAAACGAAAAGGAGGAACTCCAAGTCCAGCAAGCAAGCAGCATGTATCACCTGAAGAGTCTGGCCCGCCAGGGTGCCCTGCGTCAGCAGGAGCTGTCCACCTTGGCCAAGGCCCTGCCCACCGCCGTGATGCACTCCTCCAGGGGCTACGCCACCGAGCACCAGATTCCCGACCGTCTCAAGGATGTGCCCACCGCCAAGGATCCCCGCTTCTTCGACATGGTCGAGTACTTCTTCCACCGCGGTTGCCAAATCGCCGAGGAGTCCCTCATCGATGACATGAAGGGCAAGCTGACCCGCGACGAGAAGAAGCAGAAGGTGAAGGGCATCCTCATGCTGATGCAGCCCTGCGACCACATCATCGAGATCGCCTTCCCCCTGCGCCGCGATGCCGGCAACTACGAGATGATCACCGGCTACCGGGCCCAGCACAGCACCCACAAGACGCCCACCAAGGGAGGCAAGTGTTTGACCAAGATTTATAGCCCATAATTCGATGGGAAAAGGTGCCCTAAAATTCCCAAGTTTTATAACTAAAATACCAGTGAAAATTGGGATTTTTATTGAGTCCAAGTTCCAGTAAAAAAGGCCCGTTAATCTAGGGTTATAATTGATATAGGAAAACCTCCTCCTTATAAAAGCAAATTCTTTGACATAGTTCCCTTAAATTATGGTCTAATAGGTCAAGATTTCCCTTCTATTCCTGAAAAAAACCTTAAGTTTATACAAAAATACCCTAACCCAGCATAATTAAAGCTCAAATACGTCATCTTAAGTTCCGTATTTAAAATCCCCCATATCGACCCTTGTTGCTTGCTGCGAAATCGATTTTTCCTTCGGCATTTCTGGCATTATGTCTTGATTTTTCGAGTTATGTAACCCAGTATGAGTCCCATAGGCCCCCTTTCCCTCGTTCTGCGCATGTTCTGCCGCCTGTTTTGTTTACGTTTTAGCCGACACCGCCCCCTTTTTTTTGTATGTTTTAGGGTTTTTAGACCGAGTTGCATAAGGCTCACCCGTTAGGACACGTGTTTTCATTAGATTTCCAAACCTTTCAAGTGTGCCACCATTCAAAATAACAGATGTACAATACATTCTCTGCCCCCCGACCCTGTTCATTTTCGCACATTTTATTATTTTCGAGCTGGCAAAATTATTTCGATTCTTTCGATATTTGCTCTCTTTCTCTGGTGTTTGTTTTTCCTTTGGCTGGGTGCTATTTATAATGAACTCTTGGTTGTGTTTTGCTTTCTAATTGAAATGAGCACACAGCGCTGCACAGTGAGTCAAGTACTGGGTAAAAAAAAAACGCCCCCAAAGCCCAAAATCCCCTTGTTGTCGGGCCCTGAAAATTGTTTGTTCCGAACTTTGTTTGTCTCGCATAATTAATTATAGAATCAGTTCAGTGCTTATCAAGTGCCAAAAAAAAATTAGTGAAAAGTACTCGACGAGGGAATCTTATCTGACCTTGGCTATGCGCAAAAATAGAAAACAAAACAGCCGAAAATTCTATGCCCCTTATACCATTTGTTGTCGTTTACGATTATTGCCACGCTTCTTGGCACTTTATGATCTTGTTTTCGAATCTAAAATCGATCATGTGGCCTGTTTCGGTTAACAAAAGTAGTAAACAGTCGTGTTACCAACTGACTTCAATCCACCTTATGTCTCGTTAATGATTCACTTAAATAAGGGGGCTTTGCTATTTCAGTCGGAGGTGCTAAAAGTTGCTAGTTTGTTTATTTACTTAGTACTAGATCAATGGTCAGTGTTTAATGGCCACCGTTTTTTTTGTTGGCCCAATGGCCATGCTCTAATTAATGCTAATTTCCGCTGATCCATCTGCCATTTAGCTGTTAATTATTTAATACGTTCTGCGTACATTCGAGTCTGGTCTCGAATTTCGGCGAAATTGCCTTTAAAAAGCCGGCTTGTGAACTTCGTTTCATTTTATAACCGCGTCTGATGAATGTTGTTTTGTGTGTGCGTTTGCAAAACTGGTTTCAATTTGCCTGGGGTGTCTGTCAGATCGGTTTTTGTTCACGTGATAGTCACGTTGTGCCAAAAAAAAGAAGATAAATTCAACAAAAAACTGGGAGAGTATGATGAATGCGTCATTTTCTGTACCACTGTGCTTTTTGTAGATGATTTCAACGTATGGGTCCATTCAAAACTGATTTGATCTGGTACACGGCACTTTCTACATATGTCGATGAACTGATCTAAATTGTCTAGACAATTGAGGGGTCTGCTTTGTAATTACTTAACTACAACCCAGAACCGAATGCCTCAAAACTAAAAAAAACGTGGAGACAGTTCAACAAAACTGATAATGTAAGGCGTCCCTATCGCTACTATATATTATATTTTACATATATGGGGGCCCAGTATTTGTAGACTTGCACATTGCACACATTAGTTCAAGTAAATAGCATTTTCATTTCCCACAAACACTCGGCAGTTATCTTATTGACAAACGAGTTCCGATTTAATGTACTCCACTCGAGAGCTGCACTCGAAATTTCGAATGCAAATCGGTGTCAATCGTGTTACAATGAAGTGGACTATGGGCCTAACCCCCCCCGGAAAACAAACAAACCTGTCCAAGATATAGACCATAGCTAAGTAGTTTCTCACGAAGGAATCTATACATCGAAATGGCATGTTTTTTAGCTCATCCAACTCTGCTGGGGGTGCGTCCATATAGGTATATATGTACGTCACTTCCTTTTCTTATCGCATTTCTTTTCCAACTTGTAGATCTTGGCAGGCCCCAAGGCCCCCTGGTAAATAGATTTCGGAGTGTATCTAGTTTTTGCACTCAGCGTTCTAATCATATGGCGCAGAATTCTGGTCAGCTGACTGGCTGGCCGAGGCAACCGGTTTGGTCTATCCGAAAGAAAAGATCGTCGTCGCCTGTTGCCAATGGGGGGATACATATAGAATATGGACACACAGACGTGGCTATATGGCACACACGATCGAGCCCCCAAATGTGTTATCGCACCGATTGTATAAGCATGCCATACCAGCTAGGCTAGCTGTCGTCGGAACTTTAATAGATTCATTTTCTGTATTGTTTTTCGAAAACCTATTGGGCAAAAAACGAAAACAAGTCGCCTGATAAAGCCGGTTGCCGCTGGTCTTCTGGCATTTCATATTTCTGCCTCTGCTGTTCTTTTGTTTTTGGTTTTTTTATGGTAAACATACATAAGCGAAAAGAAAAGAAAGGCGAGGCGAAGACTGGGGCTTCGGCAAATAGAGAGGGCGTCGCTGTCGTCAAGCCAACTGGGTACAGTCAGCACATTTCTCAGCTCGATTCGCGGTTCGAAATGACGACTTGGCTCTCTCAGCAGAAAGCCAAAGACGGAATGCGGAAGAGAGGCTCCCCAGACTCAAAAATACCCCAAGCTAAACCTAACGATTTCCTGCGAAAATATTGGATTTAACGTACAAATCACTTTAAATGAAGAGTTTTATATGCTAACATCTTTTCCGGGAAGTCAAAAATCTACCCATCTCCAGAATCTCAAAGATTTCTATTTATAGTTAAATTATCTCAAAGTTTATTATTATAAACTGAAGAT